TCCTGAGCCACCCAGAATAGTCATGTCTTCCAAGTCTGAGCTGAAGCAGCATATTGCCCCCTGGGGAATCAGTGTCCTGGCCAAGATAAGCAGCTACGCATCCCAGAGCTGAGCTGATGTAGTAACCCATGTCCCAGGAAAGCAGAGCAGTAGTTAGGCCGAAACACCATGCCCTACAAGCTAAAGAACTCTAGTACCTTGCTTTCCTAGAGCTGAACTAGTTCCTTAGAGTCTGAGCTGCTGCGACACCCCTCTCTCCCTAAGGAGTGGAGTCATCTCTGTGCTGTTCTCTGCTCCATCTACCAGGGCCTAAATGACAGCTGTGCTCTGCCATTCTGGGTTACTTGCTGCCACTGCACCTGCCCTCACAGAGTCTGGGATACTACCAAGTTCCACCATCCCAGGGTCTACAGTCACTACTACACAGTGCCTCATTCACTGGGGCATGAGCTGCCACTGAGCCCTGATGACTCAGGTTCCCAAACTGCAGCTGTACCCGGCTCCCCAGACCCAAACTTCCAGAGAATCTCTTCTTCCCCAGAGATAGGCCAGTGCTGTGTCCTGCCTCCCAGGAATAGAATCGCAGCCACAACCTTCCCTTCCCTCACCCCGGGCCTGAGCAGCTAGGAGGTGCCTCAGAGTCACAGATGCTGGCTCTGTGAGAGTGAAGTTCAAAATGGATCAAAGACCCAAAATGTAAGGCAAACTCTAAAACTCCCAGAAGAAAATATTAGAGGAAAGCTTCTTGACATTGGATTTGGCAATTATTTCTTGGATATGATACTAAAGGCACAGGCAACAAAAAAAATAGTAGATTAGATTTCATCAAAATTTATAATTTTTTATATCAAAAGACACTATCTAGAGGGTGAAAAGAAAACCGACAGAATAAGAGTGACTACATACTTGCAAAGCATATTTCTGGTAAGGAGTTAGTATCCAGAATATATCAAGAACTCAACAACAACACAAAATAGAAACCAACTAACCTAATTAATAAATGGGCAAAGAACTTGAATAGACATCTCTCCAAGGAAAATGTACAAATAGTCAATAATTAGCACATGAAAAAGATGCTCTACATCTCTAGTCATTAGAGATATGCAAATCAAAACCAAAAAAAGATATCACTACATACCCATTAAGATAGCTTTTTTTTTTTTTTAATGGAAAGTAACAAATGTTGGCAGGGACATGGAGAAATTGAAGCCATTGTATATTGTTAGTGGGAATGTAAACTAATACAGCCACTGTGGAAAACAGTTTGGTGGTTCCTCAAGAAGCTAACATGGAATTAACTGTGTGATCCAGCAATTCCACTCCTAGATATATACCCCAAAGTTTTTTTACACCAATGTTCATAGCAGCATTATTCACAATAGCCAAAAAGTATAAACAACCCAATGCCCACTGACAGGTGGACAATATGTGGTATATCTATACAATGGGATATTATTTAGCCTTTAAAAGTTCATACATGAATGAGCCTTGAGAATATTAAGAACCTATAACATGAATGAACTTTGAGAATGTTCTGCTAAGTGAATGAAGTCAGACACAAAAGGACAAATACAGTAGTCCCTCGGTATCCAAGGGGAATTGATTCCAGGTTCCTCTGTGGGTACCAAAATTCACAGATGCTCAACTTATTTATATAAAAAGTATAGTATTTGCATATAACTTGCACACATCCTCCCATAAACTTTAAATTATCTCTAGATTATTTATTATACCAAATACAATGTAAATGCTATGTAAATTGTTATACTGTATTGTTTAGGGAATAATGACAGAAAACTCTACATGTTCAGTACAAATGAAACTATCCTTTTTGAAAAAATATTTTTGATCTGTGGTTGGTTGAGTCCATGAATGTGGAACCCAAGGATACTGAGGCCGACTGTACTGCATTATTCCACTTATATGGAATATGGGGACACCCCAAAATAGGAATTATCTTTTGGAGGGTGGGCCCTTTGTAGTACAGGCTTCCCCCACTAGGTAAGTGCTGTAGGAACCCATAAACTCAGTGTACCAGCTAGTGTTGTGAGAGGCTGCATTCAGTTTCAGTGAATTTTTTTGGAGAGATTCTTTCAACACGTTTGCCCACGTCATGATGGTGATTTACACAACGTGCCCACACCGCACTGAATATTCAGCAGTTTTCGACAAAAAGCAGCATGACTCCCGTACACCACCCTCCCTATTCACCCCTATTCTCACTCTGCCACCCAGGCTGGAGTACAGTAGCGATCATAGCTCTCTGTAGCCTCAACCTCCTGGGTTCAGGCGACCCTTACATCTCAGCCTCCTGAATATCTGGGACCACAGGCACATGCCACCACACTGGGACTACAGGTACATGCCACAACGCCTGGCTAATTTTTTTATTTTTTTATAGAGACAAGGTCTCTCTATGTTGCTAAGGCTGGTCTCAAATTCCTGGCCTCGAGCAATCCTCCCACCTCCACCTCCCAAAGTACTAGTATTGCAGGTGTGAGCCATCATGCCTGGCCATGAAAATAACTGCAAATCTAATTAAGGTGGGACGACAGGCATACACCACCACGTCCAGCTAATTTTTTGATTTTTTGTAAAGATGAGGTCTCACTATGTTGCCTAGGCTGGTCTCAAACTTCTGGGTTCAAGTAGTCCTCCCACCTCAGCCTCCCTAGGTGTGAGCTATCCAGCCAGGCTTCCCACTCTTAAAGGGGTGTGTTGGGTTTTCCAGCATAGGCAGGGATTAGTCCCTTGACTGTGATCCAGGCATAGGGGGTGAGGGATGGGGCACTCTATTTACAGAATTGGGGCTTGCTGTGGACATTTTTGTATGTTTTGGTTGAATAGGATTGATCCATGGTGCACACAGACCCCATACTTGGGGTCAGCTCCCCATACTTTGTTTTTCTCTAGCAGTGCTGTCTTTTCTCAGATCCTGACTCCACCACATCAGGTTCAAAGGGGGCTTCTGGGCTTCTGGCCCTCCTCTCTCTCCGCCGTGTCCCTGGACCTCACCCTGCTCAGATTTGATGCAGCACAGTTCTCTGCAGAGCTAGTGGGTCCATCTGGTAAGGGGTTGCCCGTCTCCCTAGACTCCAATGAGCTTTGTGCCAGGCCAGGTTCCTTCTCATCAGTCGCAGCCAGCTAGGGGCCCACGCCACCCTGGCCCTGGTCCCGGTCTATATTGATAAACTTAGAATGTCAAACTGTCAAGAGCTAACACAGGGTCACTAATTTGGTAAATTTACCAGGAATCAGGATCGGGTATTCACAGGTTCAAAACTTGCTCTTGTCAGTTTCCTCCAGTCGGTCAAACCAAGGAACACTAAAAGCAAACGCACATGGTACTAATGGATAAACTAGAATATTAATTTCATTTTCATTTTTATTCCTATTTGTATTTTCAGACAGTTTCACTCTGTTGCCCAGACTGGAATGTGTGGCATGATCAAGGTTCACTGCAGCCTTGACCTCCAGGACTCAAGTAACCCTCCCACATCAGCCTCCCGAGTAGCTGGGACTATAGATGCACACCACTACACCTAGCTAATTTTCAATATATATATTTTATATTATATACATACATATTATTTATATATATTTCAATACATATATATATATATATATTTTTTTTTTTTTTTTTTTTGGAGAGACAGGGTCTTGCTTTGTTGCCCTGGCTGATTTTGAACTCCTGACCTCAAGCAATCCTCCCACTTCACCCTCCCAAAGTCCTGGGATTACAGGTGTGAGCCACCACACCTGGCTAAAATGCATGCAAATGATCTTATTGCAAATAAATGGCAACATGATAGAACAGAACCCAGAAATACATTTTGTATGGACCTGACAATATGACAGTATGTTTATGATAGTTTTTTATCTACATCTGCACATCATGTTTGTTCTTGGATCAGTTTTCCCCCACCAAGAGAAACTATAATTCATATCCTTTTCTATCTTCCACTTTTTATCCCCCCTTTTCCTTAGAAGGGGCTGGAAATCTGGCAATAAGGAAAAAAACTATATGTGTATCTCTATATCTCTAAGTAGATGGTAAATATTTTTTAGATTGTACATTTCTTAAGGTAATTTTTGCCTCCTTCCCATGAAACACAACATTTTAAGCATTTCATAAATGTTTCAAATCCAGTCTGGCACATTGAATTCTCAATTAACATTTGTTGGATGGTTAAATTTATAAACGAGCAGTTACTATGCTCCCTTCTCTTCCCACAGGGATGTTCCCTGAGACACTTCTGTCAAAATACTCTTTTCATTTATCTAACATTTACATCTGATTATTTTTTAAAAGGGTTTGAGCAGCTTTCAGTGTTATTTAATGCACAAAATAAAAATAATTAGGGAATTAGGACACAGTGCAGTTACTTAACATAAGAGAAGGGTCAACATATGCCAATAAGGTTCATAGTTATTAGAGATGAGTTGGAAAGTTGGTTCTGAGCTTCCTAGCAGCCATCATAAAGTTAATTACATCATTCATATTGTTCATGCAATCAAAACAATTGCCCAGCTATTTCACTTAGCAAACATAACTTTTTCCTTTGAGTTTTCATTAAATGATTCTTTTTTATTTAATAAATGTCTTCAAGAATATTCTAGAATATTTTAAGTTTTACAGTAAATGTTATAGTGGTCTAATTGGTCTATCTGATGTAGCCCCATGGCATAATGTTAAAGTAAAAATTAGTAGAAGGATTCTAAAAAATCCAGTTTAATTGAATGAAAAAAATCAGGTCCCAAAAGAAATGACTGTTTGTACAATAGTCTTCTGAAAATATTTTTCCCTTCCAAGTGTTTAAACGTGTGTTAGGCAGTAGAGTCTTCATTGTTTCAATCTTCAGTAGGCACCAGCAGTGTTTCTAATAGTATCTCTATGTCCTTAAAGAAGATACTTTGACATCACTTCAGGAAAGTTCTGGAACCTTCCAGATCACATGACCATAGAGGAAGCCATTTTGCAACCCCAACTGCCTCACATCATGGAGCGTCCTGAGGGGCCGCTCCCGAAGTCCTCAGAATATGAACCAATACCAATAGCTTCAGCATCAGAAGAAACCAGCCACCAAGAACCTCAGGTTCCTGTCGACCATGGTGTGGAAGCCGCCTGCAACAGCAGCACCAGAATTGCCGGCAACCATGGCACCCCAACTCCTGCCGACCTTGCAGTCTCTACTGATGCCGAGAGCAGCACCCAAGCTGCCCCCCTAACTTCAGAAAACTCACTGGAGGGGAAAGGTAAGTGACTTTTTAAATGGTTTTCGCGAGCTGAGGGTGTGTTTTGAGAGGGGCCAAATGCTAAAAGTGTGTTTGAACTGCGACTCCCTGAGGAGAAATGCTGGGCGTCCCTGGTGCCCCTCTGGGGATGTGAGGTGGCGACCCTGGGGCGGGGGGGGTGGGAAGAGGGGCGACCGGTCGTGTCGGGGCCGTTTGGGGGTGAATTCCACTTGTTTAGCCGGCTTGCGCGGCGGCATATTTGTCACCAGGTGAGTTCGCCTCGCCAAGGGACAAATCGTGCCACCTAACAGATTTGGGGAGCAACCCGGTGTGTCACGCGTTTTTCAAATATCACTATCTTCTGGTAAAAACGCGTCTGGCACCCTAAAGGCCGCCTCTGTGTAAAGGAAACTCGTTTGGAAGCCGCGGTCGTGCTTCGCGCGGTGTCCCAGCGGTGGCGTTCCCTTCTGTCGGCGCCTTTCGAGCCTTCCCGCTCCGGCACGCGGTTTGCCGGCCGCCCCCTCGAGGCCGGGCTCCTGTCTGCCCTGCAGCGACCGCGGAGGCGGGGCGAAG